GACGCTGTATAGTCTGGTAGATATTCATATCTCTTCCTCCTCCTCCTCCTCCTCCTCCTTCTTCTTATTCTTCTATACCTGTTACTCCTACTTGGATCATAGGGCATCCGTGAAACGCTTGTTTCACTTCAATTTCTTAATCTGCTTGGACGGGAATCAGCAAATCTCAAGGCTGCTGTCTAACCCATACACAGAATAAACGTACACACAGACATCCACGCCTCGAGTGGGATTCGAAGCCAAGATCCCAGTGTTCGAGCGAGCAAAGACATTTGACGCCTTAGACCGCGCGGACACTGCGATCGGAAAGAAGTTCCGATAAAAGAAAATAAATGAGACTCGACAACAGCCGTTAGTGTCTTACCCTGCAAAAAATTATGCTCTGTAAATGAATTTTCTGTAATATCCTAGAGAGGTTTAATGTTATGTAGGATCTGAGGTTCTCACAGCGGTGACTATGAGCAATGCCGTTTTCTGGGACGTTACGCTGGTTTTAATGCTAGTTTCAAAAGCCAAACGCGGCTCGCGGGTCACTGTTTGGTCTTTTCTAAGGCTCTGATGCTGTTTATTCTTGTCCCTCCGTTCCAATGGGCTGTGTTTCTGCTCACAATCCGAATGTGTTCCGTTGCGTTGCAGATGATAATTTTTTATTGCTAGTGGGGTGGGACTAAATCCCTTGTACTGCGGCCACTTCTGGCCTATTGTACCAGCCCCAGATGATAGGAGAGGGTGATTGTGGAGCAATTGGTGGAATGAAGATTGGCAGAGGAAACCGAAATACTCGGAGAAAACCTGCCCCAGCGCCACTTTGTCCACCACAAATCCCACTTGACCAGACCCGGGATCGAACTCGGGCCTCCGCTGTGGGAAGCCAGCGACTAACCGCTTGAGCTATGGCGCGGCCCTAGCGCTTGTTTAGAGTGTCCTAAATATGAACCACAAAACACTTCTTAGAACTGAAGGTATAGGAACTGCATCGCGAATTCAGCACCTAAATTGGCTGTTTTCGCATAGCAATAATAGAATGTATGTTGTATGCAAATGCGAAGATTTAGATAAGCAAAACAGGTAGCGCGCAAGGAGGCCTCTATCAAAGTGGGACACAAATGAAAGCGAATGTAAATATGAATGTAGTGTATTGGTCCCGGACATGCGCAGCAACCGGTTGAAGAATGTCCCCGGTATATTTTAAATCTCTACACGCCGCAGTAGCAGTGTAAGGATACAATAATTGACAGTTCTTGTTACCTCTGTAGAACATCAACTTCTACGAACTTGGCTTAGGTTAGAGACTCAACAAAGCCCAGTTAATGTGAACACCCTGCTGCCATATGCAAGGTATATACATTACAAAGTGCATGTCACACTATCTCTTTAATAGATCTGCAGTACATTTTTATGAAGCTAGGAAAACTACAAAGAGAAAACTGTTTAAACTATTACAGTAACTTACCAAAGTTAATTTACTGCGTTCACTTCGATGAATTATAAACCGTGTGGTTGTCCTCAGCTTGTCCTCAGACTTTTCTAGTTTAATATGTGATAAACATCAATGTGGATCTCAGTGGCCGTGCGGTCTAAGAAACAAACAGTCTTCACTAGCTCGAACACTGGAACCATGGGTTCGAATCCCACTTAAGGCATGGATATTTGTGTTAAATAGCGACCTGGTCGCCCCATAACTCAAGCGGTTAGTCGCTGGCTTCCCACCGCGGCGGCCCGGATTCGATCCCGGGTCTGGTCAAATGGGTTTTACGGTGGACAAAGTGGCGCTGGGGCGGGTTTTCTCCAAGTACTTCGGTTTCCCCTGCCAATCTTCATTCCACCAAATTCTCCACCATCATAATCACCTGGGGCAGGCTACAATAGGCCAATCAGTGGCCGCCGTGCCGAGTGGACCCAGTTGGACTCCACCCCCCCACTAAGAGAATTTAAATTTAAAATTATGTAGCGGCCTTGCGACGGCCGATCCCCCATTCAAGTAGTCCTGCAGACTGTGTTAGATTAAAAAGAAATTAAAATTTACTTATCTTGACACCGTAAAGGTATAAGAGGAACAGATTAAGAAAGAAAGAAAGAAAGAAAGAAAGAATAAAATCAAGTATAAGAAAGCAGAACGGAAGAAGACCTTATAATGAAGAATCACCAGTCTTACAGCGGGTGATACCAGGATCCAGCCTCGGTATTCATGTTTCGTACAAATCTCATATGGAATCCATCTTCCTGGTGTTCTGAGCCAGCTTCTTGTTCAACTTTGGGCCTAATAAAAGAGTATCCAAGAAATCAAATAAACAACACTACATCTCTAATGTTTCCCTGAAGATCTGTGATGATAATTACCAGTACATTCATGATGTGACATGTAGGCCTATTGCTAGGAAAAGAGTTGAGAAACACGTTTCCGTAGAGATGGATTCTTGGAATTTAACTCGGTACGGAATACATTTCCATGGATACGAATGATCAACAAACATTTCCTAAATCAGAAGTCAGTCGTAGACCAGATCAGAATGGAGTTAATCGTAGTCCAGAGCAGAATACAGAGAGATCAGACCAAAGCAGAATTGAACAATTTCGGCTGAAAATTAATTGTGAGTTATTGTAATTTATTGTGATTATGAGATTTTGTAAAGAAGGTGTCAATAAATGAAATCATCCAATCCAAAACCCGTTATTATTAGTCAAGAAACGATAAACAATTGAAAATTATGTCGGTGTTACGTTGAACACTGTTCATTATCTGATGTACTAGCCTATCATTAAAAAAATATGCAGGTATCGACAAAAACTGTCGCCACGGATCTCAGAATAAAACATTATAACAACAAAACTCTCTGAATAATCGTAACGTCTCACCTGAAGGGGTGAGCTGGGCCGATTTCTCTACAGTAGTAGATGTTCCACGGATAATGGACTATTTCCAAACACGTTACTGGTACAATCCACTTCTTCAGTCTTAATTTTATTATTTGTAACAAATTCGCAGAATCAAAGAACCCACTTGATTCATCGGTAAAACTACACACAAATTATATGTAAAGGATATATATAATAGTACACCAATAGTCTCACAGGTGCAATATAAAACTACAGTTATTTTATTATTCCCTCTCGTACATGTTTCGACTGCATGCCGTCGTTGCCTAATGAAAACAAGAATAGATTATTGTTACAACATATACAGACTGATTTTTGTTTAAATGTAGTGCTATATAAAACCGTAAAAATAGTTATAACAAGTTTTATCCGTGTGATCGGAGCCAATTATTACATACAGCCGGTACACAATGTCTAGTTTTCTCAGCCTACGTAAGATACAAGTATTTCTGTAGTCGTTCTCGTGTTTGAGTTCAAGTTTTGTAATATTGTTAAGTGACTATCCAATAATACATCAACCTGGGCACTTGCTATGCTTCGAAATCTATCAACACACACATACACGGGCCTCGGATATCACGATATCACTCAAATGTCCAAACACATTACTCCAATCCACTATACCTGCGATCTCCAGACATCAACATTACACCTATTACCAGCATTCCACAAATATAGAAGTATCAGTTAACATGATTACTTACTTACTTACTCATGGAGCTGAGCCCTTCTGGATGAGCCGCCAATTCTGCAGTTACTCAAGAATTTCCCAGCATTTTATGGAAACCGAAGGTTTATTATCGTGTTCACAAGAGCCCTCCACTGGTCCTTATGCTGAGCCAGATCAATCCAATCCGTAACATTCCATCCTATCTCTCTAGGATCCATTCTAATATTGTCCACCCACCTACGCCTTGGTCTTCCCTGTGGTCCCATTCCTTCTGGCTTTCCCACCAATATCCTATACGCATTCCTCGTCTCCCCCATTCGTGCTACATGA